GTAGTTACAGCCTGTAATCACAGCCTGTAGTTTCCTGTTACAACCTGTAGTTTCCTTTTTTTAGCTCCTTGTATTTCCTATTTAACAAAAGCATTGTAAACCATTCTTAGTACGGCAATATACAAATTCTTTTCAATCTTGAAATCGCCTATTTGGTATCAAAGCAACTTACCGATTCTTCTGGAAAAAAAAAAACCCCTAGTCGTCTCTTCTTTTTTTTTTCTCTTCTCCAAACAACCTAATCACCATGTCTGATGACGACCCTGAGTCCAAGACCAAGACCTTTGAGTCCCAAGTCCAAAACTCTCAGACACACTCGGTCCAAATTACCAAAATTCGGCTAAACGGTGAAAACTTCCTTCGCTGGTCCCAGTCTGTGCGGATGTACATCCGAGGCAGAGGCAAAATCGGCTACTTGACAGGAGAAAAGAAGGAACCGAAACCTGAAGATCCATCCTACTCAACTTGGGATGCAGAGAATTCGATGGTGATGACCTGGTTGGTGAATTCTCTGGAGGAGGACATCAGTTCTAATTATATGTGTTACCACACAGCAAAAGAACTCTGGGACAATGTCAACCAAATGTATTCAGACCTGGGAAATCAGTCTCAAGTCTATGAACTAACGCTGAAACTCGGAGAGATCCGTCAAGGAGATAACAGTGTTACAAAATATTTCAACTCTCTAAAACGTTTGCACCTTGATTTGTTCAGCGATTATGAGTGGAAATCGCCTGAAGATTGCAACCATTACAAAAGAAGGTGGAAGACAACCGCATCTTCAAGTTTCTCATTGGACTCGATGTCGAGTTTGATGAAGTGAGAGGCAAAATAATTGGACGATAGCCCCTGCCTTTAATCGGTGAAGTCTTCTCCGAGGTTCGAAGAGAGGAAAGTCGCAGGCTGGTCATGCTTGGAAAAAAGTTATCAAATGGTGCTATTGAGACCTCTGCCCTGGTCGCATCTGAAGTGAATATTGGTAGGAAACATAATGAAAAGCCCCGTCTTTGGCGTGACCACTGCAACAAGGCTCATCATACCCGTGAAACCTACTAGAAAATTCATGGTAAACCAGCGAATTAGAAGAGTAAGCAGGAAGGCAGATTCAACCGAGCCCCATTAGCTCATGAAGCCGAGGCACTTCCCTTCAGCAAAGAACAGATGGATCATTTTCTAAAATTGCTGAAATTCAATTCCTCATCTGGTACTCCTAATGCTTCTCTTGCTCAAACTGGTAACAACCCGAAGGCCTTATCTTGTCGTTCAAATTCCAGTGTTACCCCATGGATCATTGATTCAGGGGCTTCTGACCATATGACAAGTTTTTCTCATTTATTTCAAACTTATTCACCCTGTTCTAGCTTTGAAAAAATCAGAATAGCCGATGGTTCTTATTCTCCTATTGCAGGCAAAGGTTTGGTAAAACTTTCAAAAATTATTGATCTTAAGTCTGTCCTTCATGTCCCTAAGCTTGCTTGTAACCGTTTATCAGTTAGTAAATTGTCCAAAGACTCTAATTGTCGTGTTATCTTTTTTGAATCCTATTGTGAATTTCAAGACCAAAGCTTGGGGAAGACGATTGGCAGTGCTAAGATGACAGATGGTCTCTACTATTTTGAAGATGATATTTCAAGTAATAAAAAGGCTCAAGGTTTGAGTAGTTTTCGTTCTATCCCTGTTAGAGAACAAAAAATGCTATGGCATTTTAGACTAGGGCATCCTAGTTTCCCTTATCTTAAAAAATTATTTCCTACTTTGTTTAAATGATTGGATTGTTCATCTTTTTATTGTGAGAATTGTTTTTTATCAAAGAGTCATCGTACTACGTATTCTCCCAAACCTTACCAAACATCAAAACCATTTTATTTAATCCATAGTGATGTTTGGGGCCCTTCTAGGATCACAACTCTTTCTGAAAAAAAATGGTTTGTGACTTTTATTGATGATCATACACGTTTATGTTGGGTGTATTTAATGAATGAAAAATCTGAGGTTGAAAAATTATTCAAGGATTTTTATATGATGATAGAAAATCAATTTCAAACAAAAATTGGCATTCTTCATACCGATAACGGCACCGAATACTTTAATGAAGTTTTAGGAATTTTTTTAACAGAAAAATGAATTTTTCACCAATCCACTTGTGTTGACACGCCCCAACAAAACGGAATTGCTAAAAGAAAGAATAAGCATTTACTTGAAGTTTCTCGTGCCATCATGTTTTCAATAAATGTTCCTAAGTATTTGTAGGGTGAAGCCGTTTTAACAGCAACATATTTGATTAACAGGATGCCTACTCGTGTTCTTAACTATTTTACACCCCTTGAAAGCCTTAAAAAATCTTTTCCTGAAACTCGGATTTATTCCAACCTGCCTTTGAAAGTATTTGGGTGCACTGTCTTTGTCCATTTACCTAGTAGACTTCGGTCTAAATTGGATCCTCGGGCTGAAAAATGTGTATTTGTTGGGTATGCCCCGAATAAAAAGGGGTACAAATGCTTCAATCCGAAAACAAAAAAAATGTTTATCAGTATGGATGTCTTTTTTCTAGAAAATCATCCTTATTTTCAGAAAACTTTTCTTCATGGGGAGAAAGAGAGTGAAGAAATTTTTTTGGGAGATTTCTATTAATATCCCCTTACCTAAAACTATTGTCTCACACTCTATTACTCCGAACACTGATCTTTTTAAACAGGGAAATGATGTTCTAGAATCAGGAAACCCGGGGCCTCCTAGTCCTAATCTGCCGAGCCTTACTGTATCTCCAACAGGGGGAGAAATCTTACCAACGTTTCCAAAAAAACTGAATCCTTAGCTTCTGGTTTATAATAGGAAAAAGACTCATCAAAAGAGTAGAGAGCCTACTATTGTACCTGAGCAAGGCCAATCAAAGGTCCCGAGCAATGACTCCCTGAAAACTCAAGGCACTCTAAATCCTAACTTGTCTGCAGTTGTCCCTACTATTTCTGATAGTACAGAGTCACCTAGCCAAGTTCCTGTAGACCTTGATATCCCTATAGCTGTTAGAAAAGGAATCCGAACCTGTACCCAGCATCCCATTGCCAAATACTTGTCTTGTGATAAACTTTCCCATAAACATAGGGCCTTTACTTCAAATATTTCTCACTTGTTTGTTCCAAGAAACATTCAGGAAGCACTAGATGATCCGAATTGGAAATCAGCAGTGTTAGAGGAGATGAATGCTCTTAAAAGGAGTGGAATGTGGGAGATAGTTGACTTGCCCAAAGGAAAGAAAACTGTTGGGTGTAAATGGGTTTTCACTATTAAGTGTAAAGCTGATGGTAGTGTGGAAAGGTACAAGGCAAGACTTGTGGCGAAAGGTTTTATGCAAACGTACGGCATTGATTACCGAGAGACGTTTGCTCCTGTAGCAAAAATAAATTCTATTCGAGTCTTATTGTTGTTGGCAGTCAATTCTAACTGGCCATTACATCAGTTGGACATAAAAAATGCCTTTTTAAATGGAGACTTGGAAGAAGAAGTGTTTATGAGCTTGCCACCTGGGTTTGAAGGAAAACACGGTCAAAGCAAAGTCTATAAACTCAAAAAATCCATGTACGGTTTGAAACAGTCTCCAAGAGCGTGGTTTGAACGCTTTGGAAAGGCTGTGACGAGTCATGGGTATCATCAGAGTCAGGCAGACCATACCATGTTCTACAAACACAGTGAGGAAGGGAAAATTGCCGTTTTAATTGTGTATGTGGATGATATAATTTTGACAGGTAATGACTTTGAAGAGTTGACCAGACTGAAGAAGAAACTTGCTAAAGATTTTGAAGTCAAAGATCTGGGAGCATTAAAATACTTCTTGGGAATGGAATTTGCCAGGTCAAGAGAAGGAATTTTCGCGAATCAACGAAAATATGTACTTGATTTGCTTAATAAGACAGGACTACTCGGGTGTAAAGCTGCTAACACTCCAATTGAAGTCAACCTGAAGTTAGAAGCTGCCGAACCCGAGAATATGGTTAATCGTGAAAGATATCAGAGATTGGTGGGAAGACTAATTTACTTATCTCACACACGCCCAGATATAGCATTTGCAGTCAGTATGGTGAGTCAATTCATGCACTCTCCTGGACAGGAACACTTTGAAGCAGTGTACAGGATTCTGAGGTACTTAAAGGGCTCACCAGGTAAAGGACTTATGTTCAAGAAACAAGGTCATTTGCAAGTAGAGGTGTACACAGATGCTGATTGGGCAGGCAGTATAGTTGATAGACGATCTACCTCAGGATATTGCACCTTCGTTGGAGGAAACTTAGTCACGTGACGAAGCAAGAAACAAAATGTAGTAGCGAGGAGTAGTGCAGAAGCCGAGTTCAGAGCACTCGCCCATGGGATTTGCTAAGCTATGTGGTTAAAAAGACTCCTTGAAGATTTGAAGGTTACTGTTTCTCCTCCAATGAGAGTCTACTGTGACAACAAGGCTGCCATTTCAATTGCTCATAATCTAGTCCTCCACGACAGAACCAAACATGTGGAAGTTGACAAACACTTTATCAAGGAAAAGCTTGACTGTGGTATGATTTGCATTCCTTATGCCTCTACTACTAAACAAGCTGCAGACATCCTTACCAAAGGACTACACAAGAGACAGTTTGAAGTTTTAAGAAGCAAGCTAGCTATGGAAGACATCTACAAGCCAGCTTGAGGGGGAGTGTTGAAAAAGAGATATTCGGTTTTAATAACACCAGATTTTATGGGATATGATAGGAGTGTAAATATAGATAGTCAATGACTAAGATTAGGAAATTATGTTAGTGTACAGCCTGTAGTTACAGCCTGTAGTCACAACCTATAGTTTCCTGCTACAACCTGTAGTTTCCCTTTTTTAGCTCCTAGTATTTCCTATTTAACTAAAGCATTGTAAACCATTCTTAGTACGGCAATATACAGATTCTTTTCAATCTTGAAATCGCCTATTGTTACAATTAGGTATCTTCTACAGCTATTTTCCATAAAAATGTGTTGCTTACCTTAGGGCGGAGGTGCTCATGAATCTTATATGTTGCAACTGGAGAAGTTTCCATACGCGTGTCCCACAACTAAAAAAGGCAAAAAGAGCATCTATTAGCATACTTATCAATTCTTCAATGGTATTATGAGATGAGCACTAACAAAACATGTATTATTAAACAAGGTGTGAGGATATCGGAAGTTAGTGTTGGCAAATTTCGTAACAAAAACCAGATTCTGTCATTTTTATTTTATTTTCAGAAGTCGGTCCTATTTAGTTAGAATTTATCTCAAATCCATGGACCTTGAAGACAAAGTATTTCAAGATCAAAAAGTAAAAAGGTAAACTTACCTCTTAAATAACTAATTCACCAATTAGGATTTTTATTTTATGATTCAGATCATTAATCATATTAGGGCTCATTGTATACATGTTTCAAATGCATAAAAGTGCTTTTAAATTAAAAAACCTATGTTTATATAGTACAGGAGTTGTATTGATCGATGGATCAATTGTACGACTGGTTTGATCCATCAAAATTGAGTCTTGATTGATTAAATGGGGTGTATAAGTTTTGGAAACTTGCATTAGAATCGCAAAAAAAATTATTTTCCTATTTCATATAGGACTGTTATTGGCATATAAGGTTATAGGTGGTCTAGGGTAACCCTTTACACATTGTTGAGAGAGCATACAGAGACCAGTCGTAAATTCATTTTTTTCCAAAGAGAGCATATTCTTTTTTCATCATCTATCATCCTATGGTAAATGATAAGTTTTTATTCGGAGTGTTGATCATCATCTTGTGGTGCCTAAATCGTAATCCAAAGTTCAGAGATCAGACCATTACCTAAAAACTCTAATATGTCAGATTATGCTATGCCTAATGTAGATCTAGAAGGGGGGAATAGAACTTTTTCAATTTTAACTAACAATTAGGGGTGCACATGGCTTTGGTTTCAAACCATAATCCGATCCGAACCAATCTAATCCGTGTGGCTTTGTTTGGTTTTGAAGGAATATCGGTTCAGTTAGAGATTAATTTTTAGTAAAACTGGTCCAATTGGTACAGTTACGGATTAGGAGTAAAAAAGTTTAATCCGAACTGATCCCGCCATGCATATAAATATGTACTAGTCTTCATATGATTGGTTTACTATGTTTACTTACAATACCAGTGTTTAGTTCAAATGTGTACCCATATACCAATATATAGTGTGACAGAGAATTCCTTTCATGTCTACTAACTCTAGAATTTAATTTTCTTAGCAACCTTACCAACTATAATAGCAATCCATCAATCATCATAGTCATCTATTGACATCATTCAAGCAAATCTTTAAAACCGCTCCAAAAAACCTCTGTTCTTTACAGCCCCATAAATCTGCAGTCTAACAAGTGAAAGCGTTCTTTTCTTTATTTTGGTGATCTTAACAGGAAGTAACTTAATCTAGATTCCAATCCGTATTGGGCTGTGGTTAGGGAATTAATTAAGTATGGGTTGTTTAGAGAAGCCAAATCCATATTGAGTTGCTTAGAGAAGCCCAATCCGTAGAACCAATATAATCCAATCCGGTGTTTTACGGATTGAATCGGTTTTACAAGTTCTCATCAGTTTAGTTTGGTTTTGATTTTCATGAAACTGTTGGGATCAGATTGGTTTTGATTTTATGTCTAAACTGGACTAGGAAGATCAACTCCACTATGAGAAAGACATATTACAACTAAGTTGACAATTTTCCCAAATCCTAAAAAGCCCTAGTTACCTCCTAACTCAGACTGATGCCAAACTCTCCACTCAAGTCTCCACATCGTGCGTTCCGTCAACAAATCTGCTCCTCATGCTATTTACTTCTCTGCAAGCACATTGGTCTCCATGGCTTGTAGGTCAATCCTTTTTTTGAGGTGTGAATGTAATGTTTGATCAATCTTCAACCAATTCAATGAAGCTCCTTGTCTCAGAACTCAATGACAAAATATAATAGGGTAACCTCACTTGCAATTGAAAAATAAAACTCTCAATCTCTTTCAAAATTGTGTAATTGTGTTTCTTGTGTTTTTATTTTATGGTTAAAAGACACCTTTTTGTTAGTGTTGGACTGATTAGGGTGTTTCAGATGAGTTTTCCAAAGTTTAGAAACCTTTTCGGACTTGGAAACACGTATTTTACCGACTTTGTGCATTGATCTATCAAACTACACATTCAAGGTATGCTTCAATCAACCAAGTTATTCAGGACACTTCGATGGGGGGGACAAATGGACTTGAAATTAGACATATAATATAACATTAGAAAGCCTATAGATTCTAGTTTTATCATATATAGTTCGTCAAGAAATTCCAAGTATTTTATTTTTAATGATTTTTTTGAAGACATCAAGGTCAGTTTTCACAACTTGAGATCCTTATCAAAATCAATTTTTAAATTGGTTTTCAAATTAGACATACACTAAATTTTCCAAATTTATTCCAAATAATATTCAATTATAAACTTTATAGATATATTTAAACTAATTAATAATTAGTTTTAAAATAAATCCAAAAATTTTCTAAGTCATTTTAATTATTAATTAAACACTCTGAATCATATGGCCTCTTAGGTTACTCACCTTCTATATATTGTGTGATTGAGGAAACATGAAGAAAGATGCAAATGCGATCTTTCACCCTGTTACAGGATTTAAATATTAAAGTTACACCCTTTCTAATATCTTAAGCTTTTAGAGAGAGTAGATGGTTGTTAACATGGTATCAGAGCCAAATGTCTCAAATTCAAACATCACTGTCACCCTAATAATTAAAAATTGAAAAACACGTGTTGGACCAAAAGAAGGCCACAGGTGAGGGGGCGTGTTAGAGGATTTAAATTTTTTTTTTTTATAAGTAAAAATATATTAGAAAAGCGTTCAAAAGGGGAACGCGTCCCTAATACAAGAAGAAAAAAGATCTAAGGACCAATAGAATCCAAAAGAACAAAGAAATCATCAATCGAGGAGCATGCATTTCTTCTTACATAACAGAACAAAGAATGAAGAATATGAATTTTTAAATTAGCTAAAGACGATTATTTTCCTTCAAAGGATCTGTTATTTCTCTCACGCCACAAACACCACCAGACACAATGTGGAACAATCCTCCAATAATCATGAGCTTGTTCTTTAACAGGGCACCTTCTCCAAGCGTTAATCAACTGTGAGGAGTGCTTAGGCATTACCCAAAAAACGCCAAACATGCAAAAAATAAAGCTCCAACAATCATACACCACAGGACAATGCAAAAGAATATGATCCACGGATTCACTATCAGCTTTACATAAACAACACCAATTAACAATGATGTTGCCTCTCTTTCTCAAATTGTCCAATGTCAAAATCTTTCCCAATGTGGCAGTCCAAACGAAGAATGCGATTCGAAGAGGAGCTTTAGAACGCTAAACAGAATTCCAAAGAAACTCGTGACCGACGAAATTGGACAAACACAAGAACATGGATTGGACACCATACCTACCATGAGCTAAAGGAACCCACAAAATATCATCACACCCTCTGCCAATATCCTTCTATACAACGTATCCAAAAAAACACAAGCTTCCTCCATTTCCCAATCCTGAAAGGGGCGCCTAAACCGCACATCCCACGTAATTCCATTGTTATCAAGTTGATAACAATCAATCACGTAGACATGCTTATTGGCTGCAATACTGTAAAGTCTAAGAAAGGAGTGAGACAGCAACTGATCTCGGCACCAAAAGTCCTCCCAAAAACGGACATGTCTGCCATCACAAACTTTGAATCTAATGTGTGTGGAGAAAACATCCCAACCCTTCCGAATGAATTTCCACACACCAACGCCTCCCGTAATAGTGACTGGAAGAGATGGCCAGCCCCCACTCCCCTCACCAAAACGACACGAGACAACTCTTCTCCATTGACGATGACTTTCCTTTCCGAATCTCCATAACCATTTTCCCAAGAGAGCACGATTAAAAGGAACGATTTTTCGAATGCCTAGCCCGCCTAACCTCAACAGTTGGCAGACATGATCCCAATTAACAAGATGATACTTAAATTCCTCTCCCCTTTCACCCCACAGAAAATCCCGCTGAATTTTTTCTATCCTTTCAGCCACAGAACATGGAATTTGAAACAAAGATAAAAAGTAGGTAGGAAGGGATGAGAGAGTGCTCTTAATAAGTGTGACTTCCCCCCCCCCCCCCCCCCCCTCCCTTAGATAAATATTGCTTTTTCCATCCTGCTAATCTTTTCTCATATCTACTAATCACTGGATCCCAATTCCCAACTTGTGTAGAAGAGACTCCCAAAGGTAATCCTAAGTAAGTAAGAGGAAAAGCACCAACTCCACACCCTAGTACAGCAGCTAAGGAGGAAATATCTGGAACATCCCCCACTGGGACAAGCACACTCTTTCCAACATTAAACTTTAACCCAGAAACCGCTTGGAAGCAAGCAAGAATGCACCTCAGATATCTGAGTTGAGAAACTTCAGCATCACAAAAAACCAAAGTATCATCCGCGAACAACAAATGGGAGATCTGCATCTGATGTTCAACATCTCTGCCAACACTGAACCCCCTGATGCAACCCAAATCTTCCGATTTTCTCATTAATCTGCTCAAACCTTCCATGATAATAAGGAAAAGAAAAGACAATAATGGATCTCCTTGTCGCAGACCACGCGAGCTAGCAAAAAAACCCGCAGGTTTTTTTTTTATCCACCTGTCACCAAGCCCCATCCTCCTAAGCAAATACAGAACAAATTTCCAATTAACATTATCATAAGCTTTCTCGATATCAAGCTTACACAGAACGCCAGGAACCCCACTTTTTATTCTAGAGTCAACACATTCCCTTGCGATAAGAACAGAATCCAAAATCTGTCTCCCACCAACAATAGCATTATGTGATTCTAAAATGAGACCATCCAAAACATTACTCATCTTGGAGACAAGAACCTTGGCAATAAGCTTATATAAACATCCAATTAAGCTAATTGGCCGAAAGTCCTTAATATCAGAGGCACCGCCCTTCTTGGGAATGAGAGCAATGAAAGAGGCGTTCAGTGATTTCT